TGTGTGTGTGTGTGTGTGTGTGTGTGTGTGTGTGTGTGTGTGTTTGACCCAGGGTCTTGCTAAGCAGTGCTGCTGTCCTTGAGCTCACTTTGCATCCCAGGCTGGTCTCACACACACAATGATCCTCCTGCCTCAGCCTCCCAAGTACTGGGATTACAGGCATGTCCCACCATGCCTAGGCCTATAATTGTATTTTTTAATGAGGTCATTATGAGGATTATTTTGTTTTTTAAGACAGGATTTTACTATGTGATGCAGGTGGTCTCAAATTCGTGGTAATCCTCCTGCCTCAGCTTCCTGAGTGCAGGAATTAAAGGGACCCACACCCCAGCCAGCTTGCAGCAAGGACTACTGGCAGTAGTAGCAGTACTAGTAACAACCCATAGTGCTTTCCTCATACCATCCCCTCACCAAAAAAACCCCAAAAAACCTCACTACATTCCTTTGGGGAAATTTTTTATAATCTCATAAACATCATCAACGTGACTGATCTGGATCCCTTTTCTACCAGTTCCCAGGAAGCTCAGGTCGAGCCTGAACCCCACTGTCCCCCCAGCACTCAGGAGTGGGGCAGCCTATTCCCTACTTACCCTGCTTGACACAACGCACAGACCTTCCCACCACCCTGAACCCTGTCTGGGACAGACGGGGGGCAATGAAACAGTCCAGGAATAAATGGGAAAACAACCCTTGCGGAGAGAATACTGAGGGGAGTGTGGAACCGCCGGCTTCCTCCAGGGTCTCCATCCTTCCTCCCAGACCCTGGGGCTTAAGCCAAAGGCTCTGGAACCCACTGTTTCCTCCATGAGGGTGAGCCGATGGGGTGGGGTTTGGGTTTGCATTTCCTCTGGCGCTCTGACACTCAACTGGACCCTAACACAGAAGGCCCCGGGGATTTCGGAGTGGATGGCCAAAGCATGAAACGGGAGAGGAGCTGTGGGTGGTGGTGAACCCCTGCACCCCTGCAATCCCAGCGCTTAGAAGAAGGCCGAGGCAGGAGGATCACCGTGAGTTGGAGGCCAGCCTGGGCTCCATAAGTGAGCCGAAGGCCAGCCTGAACTGCACAGTGAGATCCTGCCTTAAAAAGGAGCAGAAAAGGACAGAAGGAGACAGTAGGGAAGGAGGGAAGGAAAACTGAAGATGAAATCCTATGTGCGCGCCTGGAACTGTAGCTCTCAGGAGGCTGAGGCAGAAGGAGTCCAAGTTCAAGGCCAGCCTGGGCAACTTAGGAGATGCTGTCTTAAAATATGATTCATGCAGAGCTGGGTTGGTGGTAAAGTGCATGCCTAAAATCCACAAGGCTTGAGAAGCAAATCAGGCTTCGGTATATGTGGGTGGTGGGGGTGGGAGGCACAAATGAGGGGGAGTTCTGGTAGACAGCATGAGCCCTTTGTTAGATATTTGAGAGGCTGTGCGCACCTCTGTCGGAAGAGCCGGGGTGCAGCAGGAGTAGCCATCTTTGGGGCTCCTGGTGAGCTCGGGCAGGGACGTGAGGTTCCTTCCCAGGGGCCCCTCCTGCCCCATCCAGGCACGGGCAGGCCAGCTTGTAGAGCATTTATTTGATGGGAGCAGTGTGGGCTGTGAGGGAGAGGGCCTGGGCGGGGGGCAGGAGGGCTGACTGTCCAAGCGAGGAGGAGATCCCGGGTCCGGGGACCTCTGGGGCGCTGGAGTGCGGGCAAGGTTGCCAGGGCCATGCGGTGGGCGGGGAGGGTAGGGATGGCCCTGGGGTGGAGATTAGGGTGCAGGTGGTGGCCTCACGTGGTCAGGGGGCCGCAGCGAGTGCCACTGGGCGATGGGCCGCCGGGGGTTGGCCAGCATGTCCGCCCAGTGCCGCAGGCCAGCCCCGCCGGTGGCCGTGCCGACCGCCACCCGGCCGATGGCCTCGTTCTTGCCCAGCTTGTCGTAGTCCAGCACGGTCAGCTCCACTTGCACCTTCTGGGCCGGGTCAGGGGAGAGGAGAGGTGAGGGAGGGAGGGAGCGACAGGGCAGCAGAGGGGCTGCTAGGGTGCGCTCTGCGGAAGGACTGGGCCAGAGCCGGCAGCGCCAAGCCTCTCTCAAGGTTTCCTTTCTCCCAAAACAGATTGCTCGCTCTTTGCCGGGAATGAGGCTTAGACCCAAGGCCAAGAACGCCGGCCAAGAGCGCTGCGCGGAGCTACAGCCACCCTGCGCACAGCTTGCTGAGGAAACAGGCCCTCGGGACCCCCCGGTCGTCAGAGATCCACAGGGTGCAGAGGCGCAGGGCCGAACCCTAGGCCTGGATGGGCCTCGTCCTCTGAGGGGCCTCGAGGCCTCTTTCTCTTAAAAACTGTTTTGAAGGCACCCACCACACGTGGTTTTCTAAAGCGGCGCTTAAAAGATCCTTTCCTCAAGGGGCTGGGCCTCTGAGCCCCACTGGAGGGCCCGAGGGAAGGGGCAGCCGCTCACCTGGACTTGGTCACAGGGCACCTCAAAGCTGAAGGCCTCGTTGTAGTAGGGGTTCAGCGTGTTCTTCTTGATGGTGGTTTTCTTCTTGCGCACCTTTTTGCCACCCTGCAGCAGGTGGACCTTGACGTAGGGATCTGGGTGGGGAGAGGAGGGGAGCTGGGGCTTTGTCTGGGCTGCCGCGGGGACACCCCGCACTCTCACTCTCTCAATGCCCGACAGACTCTGCATCCCCTCACCGAGGCCTGGGGCTCCCTCTACCCCAGGGGCCCCGTGTCCCTGGCCAGAGCCTTGCTTCCACGAACCTGACAATCCCCCTACGTCCATCTTCTTCAGGTTTTTAGCCTCCAGGACGATGACAGTGAGCTTCCCTGCCGTGGGGACGTAGCGGAGAGAGAAGCAGATGTCCCCCAGTTTCTCCAGCTGAAATACAGAGCAGGACCTATGACCAGAGCTCGTTCTGTCCTCTCCCTCCCTCCCACTTCTTCCTCTGCACAATGGGAGGATCCAGACTCAAGCACCCAGGTGTCAACCTAGCTCCAGGAACTGGCCTTGGGCACAAGTGCTGGCGGAGATATGATTGGCTCAGGGTAGCGATGGGTGGGGCATCCACTAGGGAGGGGGCGGGGCGCAGATGGGGTGGGCGGGGCTGTGCATGCTCACCTCCTCCCTTGGCGCAGGCTGCAGTTCCCGCCAGGCCTGCACAGGCCGTCCCAAGTCCACCGAGCTCATGGGGACCCTCACCTCCCCGATGGCATCGTTGCGGGAGAAGCGGTCAAAGTCATACACCGCCATGACCAGCACTCTGCCCCCCAGCTCCACATAGGGGACCTGGGTTGGTGCCACCGAGAAAATACAAGGCAGAAGGTGGAAGGTGCAAAGTCAGAGCGGGGGCATAGAATAGAGTAGGTTCCGGTGAGAGGTTTGCGTGGGTGGTGAGGGTCAAGGGAACCCAAGTGGGAAACAGGGGGCCCACCCGTGGGATCAGCGGAGCCCTCGTGGGAACACCAAGGGTCTAGGGATGGGTAGCGCTGCAGGGACAGCTCAGGGCCAGTGCAACAGCCTCCAGGGCTGGTGGTGCCCTCAGCTGCGTCTCCTCCAGGGAAAACAGGAGGGCTGGGAGACGGCCGCAGAGCCCCGAGCGCTCACCTTGAAGGCGAACGTCTCCCCGAAGTGCGGGTTCAGTGTCTGCCGATGCACCTTAGTCTCGTGTCTTCTCCGCTTGTCTGGCAGCAGGTAGACTCGCACGTAGGGGTCCGAGGAGCCGCCCAGGTCCAAGGCTGCCAGTCCCTCCGCTCTCAGGACACCCACCATCAGCTACAAGTGCCAGGCCCAGTTGCAGGGACACTGATCTTCGCCTCCCCACTAGAGCTTTCCCCGGGGAACAGCCACCTCCTCACACCCACCTGACCGCTCTGGAAGTCATAGTCCAGCGAGTACTGCAGTCGTCCTAGTTCATGCTTCTCTGCCACCTGATGCCCTGGCCCAGCTGGCACAGGCTCCAGCTCCTCCACTTCTGGCTGCACCTTAAGGAGGCATGGGCAAAGCCAGGTGAAGTCATCCAGATAGCAGCATCCTCCAGGTTCAAAGCCATGGAGGTTCCCACATCCTTCAAGCTATACCTGAGCACTTGGAAACTAAGCAGAGTCAGGATTTGATTACTTTTGTCTGCCCTGGGCAGGAGCTACACATTACAGCAGGACATTTGTCAGTATTTGATTAGTGATGCCTGTTATGGACAGGGAATTGGTATAGTGGTACATACAGCATTTTCTTTTCTTTTCTTTTTTTTCTTTTTCTTTTTTTTTTTTTTTTTTTTTTTTT